TGGAAGGAAAATTCACAACGCTTAAATGTTCAAAATTCAAAAATTATCAACAAAAATATAGTCGCACCTTCGAAAATGTTAATTTTGATAGAAGACATGGTGTAAGTGCTGTATCGTGACGAGGAAACAGCTCATGCGCAAAAACGGGGGCGTTGACGTAACCACGTTTGGCGGAAGCAAGCGGCATATCATCACCTCTATAGATAGTTGCCATAGAAACTGTTACCTCCCACTCCAAGCAGAACTTTACAACATACATTGACAGAAGCACCTTCCCCCTACAAATAAATCATTGTTTACATACTAGCCTTACAGTAAGAAGGGAAAGAAGGAATAGTTTTAGGATGTTTTTTAAAGCATCATGACGTTGCGATTAAACTCGAATTCAGTCGTTTGGATACCGCTTGATGTAGCTCCATTAAAACTTCATTCAACTTTCTTGAATTGATAACTCGGGTGTCCGAGGCCCATCAAATAGTTTACACCTGAGCATATCACGTTACCCTGCTGTGGCCGGGAGGCACTGAGGATAACGACGAATGAAATCTTTAAAGTGCCCATGATGTCAAAACTTTTTTGCCGCTCATCTAATTCTACATTTCACTTAATGAGCTTCTGCGAAAAAATTTTCCGATTTGGATAAAACGCAATTTTTTTAACGAATCTTTACAAAGTTCAAAATTCTATTTTCTTGCGGTCGACCCCTGCCGCTGATCACAAGAATAACGTGCTCAAAATGGCCACGAGACTGATGCCTGTGACGTAGGTTCAGGAACCTACGATGAAGATTGATGTTGTTTTCTGGATCATTAACATTGTTACAAAGAGCGGCAACGCACCTTTCCGGCATTTTCAACTAAATGTAGACAACTCTGAAGCAAAATTCCCACTTGTTTTCAAGNCAAAATTTCCACTTGTTTTCAAGTCAGATAAGTCATGACCCAAATCACGTGTTCCTGAACCTACGTCACGACTCACTTCTAACTGAGGAAAACTGATGCGAATGGTGGACTGAAATGGCGGCAAATTTGAACGTCCTTAAAAACTTATAAAAAATTGCATTTTATCCAAATCGATAAATTTTTTTTCGCAGAAGTTCATTAGGTGAAATCTAGAATTAGATGAGCGAAAAAATTTTTTTGACATTATCGGCAGTTTCAGCTATCATGAATGCTTTTGGTGGTATTCGCGTCAGTATGAGATATAGCGGGATACAAGATAAAAATACCTTACGAATCCTCAGAAGCGGGATGCGAGACGCTGTCAAAAGTAATGAGGGGATACGGAGTGGAAAACGGAAAATCACGCCTCCTCTGTGAGAACCACAGTCCTACTCAGTAAACAAATATCTTGAAGCCTACATTATGATCATCTGTTTTCTTGGAATTTCGGGAAACACCCGAATGTTCAATTTGTAGCTTTCACTTTTCAAAGCGAACTCTACCGTGTTAAGTGACTAATCTAAATATATAAGTAACTAATCATGCATTGTTTACCCTCTCAGTTGAGAAGAATGTATGGTTGTGACATTCATAAAACCAAAAACGAAGATAAAAGTTAAACTCCAAGCTGCTTGGTTCTGTAATGACACGGTCTGTTACAAAGGAAATGACGAAGAATGTCATCGATTAAATCATGCACAGAACATTCATTATGCACTACCGGACATAAATAATAAATTCACATTATCTCGTGTCTTGATGATGCAAATAAATAATTACAAAAGATCGAGCGATACCAGCTAAGTTCTTCTAAAGTTGCCCCGTTTGTCTTTTAAGCACGTCAGATAGGAAAGACTAGGAGATTTTTTCCTCTAGTTGCAGGGGAGGTAACTCACTATTATTTCAGTTTCTTGTTGAGCAATTATTGCGTGAATATCTGTGAA